GTGTGCTCCCCCTGCCTCTCTGCTCCCCCCTCTCCCCCTCAGCTCTGAAAGCCCAAGATCAATGGTCAGATTTTAGGGGCTGGTTTTAAAGTTTGCTTTAGACTTTTGTTTTTCCCATATTCCACATGTCAGAGAAACGGATTTTTTAAAGGGGATACAGAAAAGCAGTTCCCTTAACTACTCTTTTGACTCCAGAGAGAAAGACCTTTCTGAAGAAAGAACGGAAGTAGGTGTTCTGGGATTTTACAGGCTCTTGCAAGTGACAGGGCACAGATGCAAAATCTATTTCAATGTCACTTGCCAAAAGGCAGATACTTCAGAGGAACAAGGCTGTGACCATAAGACCCCAGTCTGTATCCTTTCACTTCTTCACCCACCCCCACCCACCCACATTTAAACCTAAATAAATGAAAAGCAGCAAGTAATGAGATTTCCAAAGGTCTCTACCTGTCTAGGAGGGACCTGGCTTCCTCCGTCCCCAACAAGAGCTAGTCATTCCCTCCTGTGCTTTCTTCTGCTTCCTCCCTCTCTCTCCCTTCCCTGCTCCCTTTTCTCTCCCCCTCCAATCCCCCCCCCACCCCAGTGTCTGCTCCCAGGTCTCTTCACACTTTCCCCCTTCTTTCATTCCAACCTTGGAGCAACCCAGCCAGTTCCAGCTCCTATTCTGTGTCCTACATTCCTGCTGCTGTGCTTCTTAATGAAATTAATTTCAGGAAGTCTACTGATTGAACCCATGACAAGTGCATAATTTCTAAGAGCAGCTGGGTCCTCCACACACAGGACAACCTGACATCCATTCTCAGTCTCTCCTTTAGGAGTCTGCTTCACCTTAGCTCTGTTTTCTCCCACCTCAAGGAGGATATTGTGAGTTCTGTAACTTTATTATTTCCCTTTCTTTCTTCTATTTGTTTTTGGGGGATAAATGAGAACAGTTGACTCTCTTTCTCCAAAGATATATTTCAGATGTTATCACACCTTAGTTATTATACCTAGAGTATCTCTCAAAGGACCCCCTTATCTCTGCAGGGGAAATTCTCAGGGGCTATTTCCCTCACCTCCTTTGATTTCTTTCACTGCTCTATTAATAAATTGATGCAAGAGAAAAGACTAACTTAATTTTATGTGCATGGAGGACCATAAAATATGGAAACTTTGATCCGAACAGCAAAGTAAGGCTATATAGACTCTAGGAAGGGAATACTAAATTTGGAAAGGAAATCCAGAACAATGAAAGTTTAAAACAATTTAAGAAGATTTTGTAGGGTTTATTTACATAGGAAAACAGACCTCTCAGAAATCCCAGTTTGTGGTGATAAGGTTTATTTCCATTTCCAGATGGAAGGAGAAAAACTTCACTTCAAGCTTAGGGAGGTTAATGCATTGTTCTTGGGTCAGCTGTTTCCCAGTTGCCTTCAATTAAAAAATAATCAGCAAGATATAACCCAGCACTTCCTGGGATGTATATTTAATCCCAATATATCTTAAATCAGGTCTCTTAGTCTTCCACCTGTAAAACTCACAACAGCTGTTCTCTTTAATGATTCTCCCATTATTTTCCACCCTGTATACCCTCCCCATTGGGTTTAGTATCTGTAGTATCTTGTTTAATCAAATCTAATGTTTCTTGATCTCAATTTTAAAGGTGGGAAGTTTTATATTTTATGTTTATCAAAAATTTTTTTCTTTTTATCCTGTGGTTCTCAATTAGATTTTTTTTTTAATGATGTCTCTGCTCTTAATGGTTGTTGGCAGAAAAAAAAGATTTTCTAAAGTTATGAGAATTTTGTAAACATAAGAGGTGAAGTTTTATTGTTTGTGAGCCTCAGGTTAAACAGATCTAATTTCCTCATAGTTGTCTTTCTAAGATCATATTTACATCTCTGGCTATTTTGTAAAAGCCTCCCTGGAGAATTAGAACATTTGGGAAACTTCTGATATACTCTTTAGCTATCAGTAACCTTCAAGATTTGTGTCAAAAATTTCTTGCTTAACCTGTAATGGTTATTAAAAGTTAATTTTCTTAACAATGCCCTGAATTTATGTGTTTTTTATATAATGGTGATAAAATGTACAGGCTTTTCAGATAGATGCTTAAGTTTAAAATTCAACTTTCTTCTTAGCCTCTTTGTACCTTAGATTTATCACATATGAAACAAATATAATTTTTTATTATCATCATAGGCTATTTTTAGGATTAAGGAAAATAATCCTTGTTACCTATGCCCAGTGTTAAGTAAAAAATAACTTACTATTCTGGATTATTATTATCTTGTTGTTATTATATGTAGTCATTTCATTTCCAACTTAATTATAAATCTTTTAAAATCAGATATTAGCATAATTAATAAAATACAAAAAAAATACAAAATGTTTGAGGCAAGTCATTTAAAGTAATGTATTTAAAGTATTCTTTTTCTGCCTTTAAAGAAAGTATTTATATATGGTTTACACGTATCAATATATACTGACTTGATATTAGGTCTTAGATCTATTGTTTTCCTTCATGACATCTAGTTCTGTTGTTTTCCTTCATTACATCTAGTTCAATGTTTCTTCATTACATCTAGTTCAAAGTTTACATGTATCAATATATACTGACATGATATTAGGTCTTAGATCTATTGTTTTCCTTCATTACATCTAGATCTATTGCTTTCCTTCATTACATCTAGTTCAAGACGATATAGCTGAATATATGTAAATTATTCCCACATGGCATAATTTTTATTTGAAATATGATTTAAATATATTATAAATAAGAAGTTAATTATGCTCTCTGTAAAAGTAGTGTTTACAGTTTATCCTTTTCACATCATTTTTAAAAATCTGTGATGCACTTAAGGTAACTATCGCCTCCAAATTCCTAGTGAAGTGTCACAAGTTTGGAAAGTACTGAGTGATATTAAGTCTAAGTGTACCATCAAAAACACTGGCATTATGAGTTTATGCATTTGCAACAGACTTCTGAATGAGGTTACATATTGCTTACAAACAAACATATTGCTTACATTGCAAAGACAAATGCAAAGTAGAGAGGAATGAGTTAGGGCCTCTTGAGCTTCAGTGAAACTTAAAGGTTTTTTAAGTTTCCTTCTCTCTAACAGAAAGCAATAGATCTAGATGTAATGAAGGAAACATTGAACTAGATGTATTTGTTTCCTTCTCTCTAACAGAAGCTCAGTTAGTACCACCCTAATCAAACAAGATAAAAATACTTTGTATTAAAGCTCAGAATTATAGGAGCACATAATTTGGGAGCTGGAATGAAAAATATAATCAAATCCTCCTCTTTTCTTTTATAGATAAGAAAACTGAGGTCTACAAACTAAGACTGTTTTCAAAACACTCAGGGCCTTTGAGTTACTTACACTAGTCATATCATTTATTTTTATATTGCTCAGTTGACCACAACGCAAAATTCCAGTGTTCTCCGGAAGCATGTGCTTGGAAATGATGCTTTCTAAAGAGTTCCTGTAAAGGGTCCTCTGAGTCTTGTGGGCATTTTTCTTTATGGAATCAAAACCAGAGATGGTTTTCCTTTAAGTGTTTGTTTTTCAGGGGAATACTTTCATATGACATCCGGCACCCGAAAGAAATCTTTATGGCATATGTTTTGCAAATATTTTCTTCTTGGATTTTTTTTTTTAAACTTTGAGCGTAAAGTATTTGTCAATATTTCCCACAAATAAATTGTTTTTTAGTAAAATGTCAAGTGCCAGATTCCATTCTTGTGTTGACCCATTTACCAGAACAGCTAATGATTTGCATTTCCCAATTAAATTTACTCCAATACAATTTTTATGTACATACACTAATTAAAATATTTGATACGGGAGGCACGGGAAACAACTTTTCAATAAATATACTGTTTAGCACATTACAACAAATGTAAGGAGGTCCTAATTTAAGTGGAGAAAACTGTGACTAATCCCTTTAAAGATTGATAACAAGCCCCCAAATCCATATGGTAATCACTTTGTAGTTGAACTTGTCCTTTATATCTATTAATACCAGACGTATTTAATATTAAACTTATTTCCAAAGCCTGATTTTTAATTATTACTAATTTTACTTTATTATTATTATTATTATTATTTTGCTGCCTCTGACCTTGAATTAAATGGACCGGGGCATTTGGGAGCTTGTCTTGTTGTTAGGTGGTAGTTATTAAATTAACTTGTGCTGAAACAGTAATAATTATCCACAAATAATAGTTTTTAAAAGACTATTTTTTTAAAAAACAAAGTCCTTTTAAAAATTCTCACGTTTTTACTAGGGATGTCAATCTACTAATGAAAGAGGGAAAAAAGGGAGAGAACCAACAAACACAGTTTTGCAATAAAATGGGTAAAAGCTAGCAGAGTGACAGAGACACGTCCTTCCAGCCCTCCCAAGCACCCTCCCAGTTTGAGAGCGCGAGTGCCCCCAGAGTAGCAGGTTTCTGCTTGCGCCAGGAATCCGGTGTCGGCGGAGAGACGCACTGCAAAACCAGGGCGTTCCCAGCTGGAGACTGCTAGCTCTAGGATCCTCCGAACACCTGGTTCGGTTCTTGAGGATCCAAGAAACTTCTGACTTCGACCGGTCGTCACTTCGGTTGTCGGCAGCAGGCTCTGAGCGATCAGAAGGGTTTCCTGTGTGTCAGCAACTTCACTTTGCGGAGATAGCTGGCGGTTCACTTTGCCGAGATAGCTGGCGGAAGAGCGAAAGGGCTCTCGCGGGCCAATCGCTCCCAAGCAGCCAGCTCAGCCCGAGGGCGCCCTCGCCCCTGCTGCGGACGCGGGTAGCAGAGGCCGGGCAGAAGTTGAGCGCGCCAGGTCACCGCCGAGACGAGCTCCCCAGAAGACGCCCAGGCTCGCGGCAGCGCCCCTGGAGAGCGCGGGCTGGCAGCCGGGCTGGTTCGGCGGAGGCACGCCCCTCGCCTCCCGGCGGAGCGCGGACTCGCCTGGGTGCCCAAACTCCGCCCACCCTCGCGGGGAGTCTGGCCCTCCCTCCTGCCCTCTGCACTCCAGACCTTGCGGGGCCTGGGGCGGGCGTCGGGAGTTGCATTGCACCGACAGCGAACTGGACGCGCGCCAGAAGCTCACGGGAGCGCAGCACGCGCGCTTCGATGGCCCGCAGAGGTTGAGAGCCGGGGGCGCGGAGGAGGCGGCTCTGCCCTCTAAGCCGAGCTGGTTGCTTGCAAGGTAGGGAGAACGAAGCAAGATGCCCAAACGTTGATCTTTGCGGGAGGGAGGCCGGGGAGCGCTGCGCCCCGAGTTCGGGCTAACCGCTCTGCGTCCCCGTCGCGCTCTCCGGCGCGACCGGCTGCCTCCAGGAAAGCGCAGTCTGAAAGTTGTCAGCGGCAGTATCCTGCGCTCCCTGTTGTGTAACCTCGGCGTTGCCAGCCGGACGGGAAGTTGCTGGCCGGCTCACCGAGTCAGTTCTGTCTCGGCTCCCGGAGGAGTTCATGGCCCGCGGCGAACGAGGAGCTGGAGCCGGTGTGGGCGAGGCCCCGCGCGTCCCCTCCCGCGGGGATCCCCAACACCAGCTCCCTTCTGCTCGCTGGCTTTTCCGATGCGCGCTGCGCCCCTCGCCGCCGCCACCCTCTCGCTGCCACTTGCTCGGGGCCGACGCCTAAGTTGGGGAGGAAAGAATGACCGAGGTCCTGTGGCCCACTGTCCCCAACGGGACGGACGCTGCCTTCTTGACTGGCTCAGACTCGCCCTGGGGGAACAGCACGGTCGCCTCCACCGCCGCCGTGGCTGCCTCCTACCGATGTGCGCTGACCAAGACGGGCTTCCAGTTCTACTACCTGCCCGCTGTCTACATCGTGGTGTTCATCATCGGCTTTCTGGGCAACAGCGTGGCCATCTGGATGTTCGTCTTCCACATGAAACCGTGGAGTGGCATCTCCGTGTATATGTTCAACTTGGCCCTAGCTGATTTCTTGTACGTGCTGACTCTGCCCGCGCTCATCTTCTATTATTTCAATAAAACAGACTGGATCTTCGGGGATGCCATGTGCAAGCTGCAGAGGTTTATCTTCCATGTGAACCTCTACGGCAGCATCTTGTTCTTGACCTGCATCAGCGCGCACCGGTACAGCGGCGTGGTGTACCCGCTCAAGTCCCTGGGCAGGCTCAAGAAGAAGAACGCAGTCTACATCAGTGTCCTGGTGTGGCTCATCGTGGTGGCGGCCATCTCCCCCATTCTCTTCTATTCTGGCACAGGGGTCCGGAAAAACAAAACCATCACCTGCTATGACACCACCTCCGACGAGTACCTGCGAAGCTATTTCATCTACAGCATGTGCACGACCGTGGCTATGTTCTGTGTGCCCTTAGTGTTGATTCTGGGCTGTTACGGATTAATTGTGAGAGCTCTGATTTACAATGATCTGGACAACTCACCTCTGAGAAGGAAATCAATTTACTTGGTGATTATTGTACTGACCGTCTTTGCTGTGTCTTACATCCCTTTCCATGTAATGAAAACGATGAATTTGAGGGCCCGGCTGGATTTCCAGACCCCAGAAATGTGTGATTTCAATGACAGCGTTTATGCCACTTACCAGGTGACAAGAGGTCTTGCAAGTCTCAACAGCTGTGTGGACCCCATTCTCTATTTCTTGGCAGGAGATACTTTCAGAAGGAGACTCTCTAGAGCCACCAGGAAAGCTTCCAGAAGAAGTGATGTAAATTTGCAATCCAAGAGTGAAGATATGACCCTCAATATTTTATCTGAGTTCAAACAGAATGGAGATACCAGCTTGTGAAGAGTCAAGAATCTCCAAACAGCCACTTTTGTTACATGGTAGGATGCTTATTAGACATCAGTGATTTTTTTTTTTAACCCCATCAAGTTTCAAGTAAGTTTAGAGAAAATTAAAACCAAGAAAGTAGTGAGCAGGGGGAAAAAATGTAAATACACCTATGCTTGGTTGGTATGGGTTTGCTTCAAGGTTTCCCTTCTTTAACCAGAGTATGTATAATAAAATAATACTATCCTAGTTAAACATTTACTTTCTCTGATGCCTTTACCGTTTTCAAGCTTTTATGTTAAAGTGCGAGTAAGTACTGGAGTTATTTTGATACTAATTTCTTCAAGGAAACTGACCATCTAAAACTTGAGTTTATGATTCATCTGGTCTTTATAGTTTTAATAATCCATGTCATGAGCCAATTTGAAACTTGACTTCCCCCAAAATAGCATAGTATAGTAAAATATTAAGCTAGGTTTATTCAACATCAGATCTCAGCTGGGTTTCTTTTTTTTGGTCCTGTGAACACAAGTGGTAACTGGCTGAGTCTTTTTAGAAAATAGTGAGTGAACTTAAAGCCCTAAAAAATGATTATTTCTAAAAAGCTGCTCACTATATCTTGGGTGCTTAATGTTTGCTGGTCAAATTCATAAGTTATCTTAACAAGTAAAATTCATCCAAAATCATCAAAGTGTTTAGACTTTCCCTAAGTCACAATGATAGAAAGCATTTATATGCACCCCTACTCTGCAATGCCTGTAGAGTTTATGTCCCAGTACAATTGCTCACTCACATCTCAAAACAATTGCAAAAATTACAGGTTAATTGCAGACCATAGTTGAGTAACTGTTTGCACTTTGAGGGTTACACACTTAGGTACAAGATATTCTCAGCATACTCTTTAAATAGTGATGAGCCTGGAAGGGAAAGAAGATAATTTGTATAACAAAGACTAATTTAAATTGAAGTCATGATGTAGAAGACTCTTTTTTGTTCCTTTGTTAGAAAACATTAAGTACAATATGAAAAGAAGGCAAAGTTTGTTTAAGTTATGTGGATAGAATGCGAAATTTTAGTTCTTTACTGGATCTTACATGCTCATATTGGCAGAAAACAGAGAGCAACTATATGGGAAAGGTAACTGGAAAATTAATGTAGTATTGAGGGCTGTAGTATTGAAAAATACTGTGTTAAAAGTGATGAAATCACTAATAATTTAAGAGAAGACTACTAGTCTGTCTTTTCACATGTTTTTGTGTGCCAGGCAGTAATGATGTCAAATACTTCAATTTTATAACAAATTTCTAGGAATATTGAATTGCTGCATGTATAGCCCTTGAAGTGGTCAGATTCCATATAATGTGGATAATGAGGTAAGGTCCCAATTTAGCTCTCTAAACAAATAAAACCAGTATCAAAGGCATTTATAATTGTGCAAACTGGCTCTCAAAAGGCAACATCAGCATCTCCAACTAATGGTAGAGGAACTTGTTTGAAAGTTGCTTGCTTTATCAGTAAAGCAATTTGGAACTGTGTATTAAGCAAGCACATCAGTGCCCCTTGAGACATAAGGGCAGGGAAGTCAGAATTTGCATCGACTGCCTGGATTGAGGATTTGTGAGACCTTCAGATTCACAACCTTCCAATTTACCCAGTGTTAAGCCATTAAGACTAATAAAGAAACACTGTCTTTGGCCTTTCTTAAGAATGATATTTTTAATACTCAATGTTAATGTGCAGAATTATAGAAACCAAATCAAGAAGAAATCTGTTCAATATCTTTCCTACACATCCTCCTTTTGAGGGAGAAGAGCGTTAGCTACACTCTCACTTATTAATGTCCTACAGCATTGTCCGTTGTGGAATCCTGAAAAAAAAAAAAAAGTCTGAAATGCATGATTACCATTTTGTCCTTGTTATACCTGTTGCTCATTGAAATGAGATGATGATCACTAAAATGTCTCCAGTAGGAATTTCAAAACCTGAACCATCCTTGAACTTGACCACTCGTGGCACACAGTTCTGAAACATTTCAACCCTTTTACTTTAGTTTCTTTCTTTTAGGTCTCAAGATCCCCAGCCTGGTTAAGGGTATGTAGTGATCAGTGACTAGAATTACCTTGACTTCTTGGATGTTTTTCTTCCAGAAATTTTCCTCGTAATCTTCATGCATCATGTGGTGGATAATGCTGACAAGCGGGTATGTGCCAAATAGCAACGAGAGTGATTTCGCCAACTCCTTCCAGGCAAAAAGAGGTCTCAGTGAAGAGTCGATGCTAATGGTGATAATACCCAGAAGATCAAAATAAAGCAGTGATCTAGTGCATGAAAATTTGATTCATCACATATGATGATATGAATACTTAGTAGTAAAGACAGACATCTGTTAATAAGTTGATGAAAGAACAGCTAACATAACACTTACCAGTTCATAAATATCACACTACAAAACTATCTTCATAGCAAGTTCAAGCTATATTATGGCTCAATTGGGCATCTTTGACTCTTTGAACATCAGTTGTGTTTGCACTGAGTTGATGAAAAGAGACTAAGATACTGTATGTCATGAAAGTGGGCTTTGGAGTTAGAAACATGACGCTGACCCTTGCCTGCTGTGGAACGTTTGACCCTTTGACCACTGGCCATCTTGGATTAAAGAGGTTGGATGACATCCATCTGTTGGGAACTTAGGGCAAAACATTGAAGCCAGCCAACCAGAGTGTGTGAAATCTGCCCCTGTATATTCCAGGACTCTTTAATTCCTATTCTTGGCTAAAATTTCTTGCAAAGTTAACCTGTTATAATGTGGACCTAGGACCAGTAAGTTTTTTAAGTCTACTCATGAAGTAGGCTAAACTGCCTTTAGGCACAAGAGTTGTCAGTGCATTTAGCAGCTATAAGTGAAATAGTTATACTGCTTAAGTATGTGTTATTATTAGAGATCTGTTGAAGCTTTATTTTTCTTGTTCAAATTATGAATATCAATAGTATTTATTGATGAAGCTCACAGTCTTTTAGTTGTACAGATTGAAAAACTTTCTTGAAAGATCCACTATTCTGATATAAATTATATTTATTATTGTGTATAATATTGATGTGTCACACTGGTACATAGTACATAATAGGCATAGATGAGATTTATTATATATTTCAATGCTTTTCAAATGTCAGATTATTAAAGTGGTTAAGTATTCAGATTTTTTTATCTAAATAGGAAAATCTGTTTTGTGATACAAGTGATTCTTTTTGTCTAGAAATGCTTATGCACGTTTATTTTTTTTTAATTTTTAGAGTTTTTTTTCTGTATAGACACAATTTGGTGTGAGAGTATCATGCAATCAATAGTACACAAAAAATATCTTAGATTGGGTTTGTATTGCCCCTATTATATAATAGTACAGAAAAGTTTATTGTCTTTTCGGGAACTTTAGAATTGTGTCTCCAAATATAGTCACAGATTCCATTTCCAAATGCAAAAGACTTGTTAAGAGATCAAGGTGTAGATCTCTTAAGTTTCAGAAGGCCAGTGGTGTGGACACTATAGATACAACACTAGAATTTAAAGAAAATCTTTAGAGTGATAGTGAGAGAAAGAAGCAGCTGGTATAATCAATTACCATGTTCACTTTTGCTTCAGTTTTTGTGTTGTGTTTCTTTTGGTGAGGTGGAGTTTCTAAGCAACACACTACCAGCACGTTCAACACTGCTATTCATTTAAATATGTTTCTTTGTTTGGTTGCTAATTTTAATTCCAAGTTTTATAATGACGACTGTGTATTTGGCTGCTGAAACCTGTCTGTTACAATTTTTTTTTATTCTGTTGTATATTGTATTCTTCACATCATTAAAAATTTATATGAAGGGAAATATATGTTACATATAAAAATTTGTGAATTTGAATTCTAATCTGTTTTAATGCTTTTGCAAAAATGTTTATTTTTTTATTATATGTGATTTTAATATAGACAATTGAGCTAGATTTCATTGTGATTAATACTGTCATTGAATGAGCAGTATAAAGACAGTGTTACTTGACATTTGGAGCTTTCTCAGGTTTATCTAAGTCAGCGATAACTTGACAAATTCCAGACTAAGTGTGTTTTAAGTAAAAGGAACATTTCCTAAAAGTTTGCATGCAAAAGTGTATAGTATTTGTGTGTGTGTGTGTGTGTGTATGTGTATGGCGTGGCAGTCAACTTTGTATTTGCTATTTATAACAGCAGAGCTTTAGTATAATCACAGTCACTAGAACTGTATCTACTATAGATAACTAAAACTGTAAAAGTCTAAATAAAATTATGAAATGTGGTCTGATGGCTGTTATATTATTATAGTACTAATATCACACATTTCACTAAACTTCAATGTGGATGATCAGATTAGCTGTGAGCTGAAAAAGACTAGGGTACATGTCTTAAGTGATAGCCCCAACTCTAAAAGGTAGTGTGTTAAAGAATCTGGTGTAAGATAGCCAATAAGATTGTCATTATTTCTTTTTTAATTATTAATAAGAATGTACTATGATGCTTTGAGGAAAATACTGAATTCAGCTTTAATAACTACTTTTCATATGTGTGTTCTGTGTTTATTTTTAAAATGTTAGCTGTAATCCTTTCTCCTCTAATTTTAATCCATGGGGGTAATTATAGTAATAATACTTTTAGTATTAATTATAGTAATAATTATATATATATATAATAATACTTGTGTGCATGTGTGTGTGTGTATATATGTACTGTGCTACACAGTGGCTACAGTGGCAGGTGTCTGATGCACTGAACACATCCTTAAACCATTTACTTTTCCCCTCAGTGGAGAAGGTAAATGGACTAAGTTTTGCTCTGGTTTTCAGGTTGTCTACTTAAAGATAGCTGTGAATAGAAAAATGCAAATCATTTGCAAGAGATGTCTCACATCACTTTTAACTGCTCAAATAGCTATACCATTCAGATTCATCACATGGGAATCTTCATTTAACTGAGTAAGTGTAGTTTGATGGGTGTGAGTGTATCTACATATGTGTGTGTGTTTATTTACTGCATATGAGCCGACAGACATAGAAATTATGCAAAGGTAAATACCTTCCTGGTTTAAGAAGAATCAACTATAAAGCTTAGGGTACTTTTTGATTTTCAAAGTAACTGAGGTTAGACTCAGAGAGCCTTCTTTCTCCACAAGTAAATATACTACATTTTAATTATCTCCCTTTAATTAACTGGAGGATTTACCTTTTTTTTCAGATTTATAATTTTGTGCCCAAATATGGCCAGAGATTCCATCTCCAAATACAAAAACTTGTCCTAAATTCAAAGTCAATCAATTGTATTTTAAAAGTCTGATGGGAAGGGGCATTACTGATACAACAGCTGTCACTAGAAATCCATGTTAATGTTAATATTATGCTGATTTGCTTTAACCCTGAAAGGTTATTGCTTTGGGGATGACCCCGAGGAATGATGTCCTTAGCCAGCACATGGGACACATGGTCCAAACAGCAGATGTGGATGGAGTTGGAGCCCTGGGCTGAGCAGATGACAATGCTGTAGCCCCTTGGAAATGGACAGCAGAGAGTTGGGGGGTGGTGTTACATGGAAACATCAGTACAGCACAGGGGAAAATGTGTACAGCCTTTCCTGATCACAGAAAAGGAGAAATCATCTGAGTGAATGTGGACAATTCTTGATTACAAAGCAGGAAAAAAACCTAAACCTAATCTAATCCTGTTTACTTCAGTTTGCTGGTAAAAGCCAAGCATACACATTCAAAAAATTAACCAAGAACTCAGAGTTCCTGCTTCTACAAGACCAATCCTCTCACCATCCCGGGGCTCTTAACACTGATGGCGACCACTATCTGGTCAAGAAGTCTGGATAGCAGGTTGTGATTGGCACCAGCTAATGGGAGTAGGTCAGAGGCCATAACTCAGTAAGGCCCCTGTGTTAGCTCACACACACACAGAGCACAAACATTGTCGGGGATCACAGAGGACATTTGATGTCTTACTGAGAAGTTAGTCAAAACTTAAAAACCTTCACTTCTTTATTCTGTAAGAGGTAATATAGAATCATTAGAATGAGATGTGAGATTGTTTTAAAAACTATGTTTAAGCACACACATTGTCATATTTATCTTTTTTAAAATCTTATTGTCATGTGAAGACTACATTTGGAATCCCAGAGAAATGTTTGAGCAACATTTGGCCTACATCTAAGGATGGCTATTATCAGTTTCAAGTAGTAATAGTGAAACTGAAATTTATGTAAACTTTGATAACCTCCCTCTGATTTGAGCAGCTAACAAATCTTCACTATGATTAGCGCATCAGCTTCAAAGTCAAAAGTTCTGAAGTTTGAACCTACCTCTGCCACTTACTATTTGTATACCTCAGGAAAGTCATTTAAACCCACTTGGCTATTTGTTCCTCAATAAAATGAGTGCAATAATTTGTGACTCACAGCCTGTTGAGAGAATTAGATGAAATAAAATACGCAAAGCACCTGCTACAAAAAAAACAAAGTAAGTAGTCCTATGGCAACTAAGGATTTTGCTTCTCCATGTATGATTTTCCTATTATTATTATTTCTATGTCCATAGTATTTTTATTAATAGAAATATTAATATTTCTGTTGTCTCTCATTCTGTGGGGACTTTCTGAGTCTCCTAGGAATTCACCTGTGAGGTTGAGGGTACTTAATATTATTTCTTGATACTCTGGAATATCTGAGGTCAAATCAGATGTATTCAACTTTTTGATGCTTTGCACTTTGTGTGGACAAAGACGGGTAAGAAAAAGAGTGTGTGTACACTAAAAGAAAAAAGGGTCTGTGGCCATCCACAAGTAAGCCTCACCTCTCAGATTTACAGTCAGTTTTCAGTCCCCAACACCCAGAGCCAGGTCTTCAGTTTTGCAGATCCAGAAACTTGATCTCAACAGTTCACCTAGAGTTCAGCAACTGGGACACTGACTCACACCAAGCAAACTGACAAGAGTCGAGTCATTTACCAACTAGAATGCCATTTTGTGAGTGTACGACAGCTATATCTCAGTCATAATATCAGACATCTGCTTTGTGTTCAATCTAATTAGGAATCAGAAAGTTGCCTGCAGAACCTACAATACAAAGAAAGAGAGGTGATACTCTTGAAAGTCATTTCCAGTAACAGAGAAGAGCTGAAAGGCTTGCCCACCCCTGGAGATATTGGAACGGATAGCCACCTTCTAGTCTGTGTTTGAACAACTTCTGTCTGCCTGGGACAGCTTAGCAACACATACATTGAAAATGTCACATGCATGTATTTTATTTTGAAATCAGCCCCCACTATTATTATTCCCTCAGAAAATATTTTCGTAATGTTGCCCAGTGTAGGTGAGGAGAAAGATAAAAAAGCTATGATATCTTGCTAAGTTGGAGACACTTGAATGACTTCCAGTTGGAAAGGTACAATATGTGATAACAAATGCTTTTCTGGAATTAAGCAGAGTTGTAACAAGATATAGAGGTTTGAGAATTTGTCACTATACGTGTGATAGCTGTCACCAATGTTATAGGTCCCTATACCTATGTGTAAACAGAGAAGAATAAAAGGTCAGCAAGGGCGAGCTGAGCAGATGTGAACCACTAACAACACTAACAACAGGATGGGCAAAAAGAAAACTGAGCAGAAAGAACTGGAGTCATAAAATCTCCTAGACAGCTTCAGGAGAGCTTCAGGAATGAGGTAAACCTGTGTCACCTGTGACAGAAAGGACCACAGAGAATCTATTGTATTAGAATTAAAAAGCATCAGGGCTCTCCCTGGTTGCACAATGGCTTAGGCATAGCACTGCAAGCTGGCCACAGCTACCTCAGTGCGGGTTTGCTCCCTGGCCCCGGAAGTGACCCACATGGCGCAGCAGACCTCTCCTGTCTTGCCCACTGCTCCCCTCATGATTTACTTCTTTGATCTGCTTCTTCTGCTCCCCACTTTCTCTGGTAAGGCCTCTCACCCCCCCACACCTCTGGCCTGTGCCCCAGTTCTGTATGCATAACTTTAAAAAATCTTTTAAAAAAATTCAAAAGCATCAGTATTTAATTGAGAGCATTTATTGATCACTGAAAACAATATTTTGAGGAAAATATATGAGTAGTTTGTGAGAGAGAGCTCAGAGGCAGACAATGGTAAGAAAGAGATTTTGCTCACTAATGCCAGAGGAAATAAGGTTCATGGGGAAATTGGGGTAAATGGAAGACATCCACAGCACAAAGGCGGAAAAGACATCAATAGAAGAAAGAAATGATTGTGTCTATTGAAGGTGAATGACAGCAAAGGCCATCAGAGTGGAGACATATTGGTGAGGGCATTGGCGGTGTCACTAAGTGACAGGAAGACTAGGAATTGAGGTGGAAATGGATCTGAAGGTTGATGGGTAGAAGCACTGAGTGAGGAGGCAGATAGCAAAAAGTGGCTGGCATTACTCTCAACAGAGATTTATATAACTGGAAGAATACAGTCAAAAACAGTGAGGAGTTGAGAAACACCCTTCCCTTTCTGGGGTATTAAGACAACAAAATTGGGGTAAAGGCCTATAGTAGAAAAAAAAAATGAGGGTAATATTTTACTGGGGATTCATCAGCAGTTTTGTTAGAAAGGGTTGAGGGTATGGAGTTCTGTTGGGAAGAGTTGTATCTCCAGAATATGTAGCAAACATGATGATGAAAGTATGGTTAGGAAAAAGAGGTGTTATGGCTAGTAAAATAAGTATATATAGAAACCAAATTAACTACATAAAAAAATTATACTATAAGACAAAATTAGAAATTATCATAAGTGGGGTGTAAATCATGTAAAAGGGACCAATTATATGGTAAAAGATTGATTTGGCTTTTCAGTGGTGAACTTAATGTATTATATCCACATGTTGATTTAAAACAATGCACATCTAAAATATAAAATGTTATAATGTACTATTTCAATTTTAAAAAAGAAATGTGTATACTTGACAGTATCTTACCTTCCATCTTCTCATTTGCGCAAATCTCCTACTCACTCTTCCCATGCATTTCTCATTATTTTCAAATCTTTCCAGCCTTCAGGATCTCTTCGAAAAGTCCTTTTCTACTCCCAGCCTCATTGTTCTATGTAAAAGGAACTCCTATTTCTAATTGCAGCTTCAGACAATAAAAAGAAAAATCACAGTATCAGGTCTGATTTCACAGTTGCACTAATGCTTTCTTCTTCTTGAAAATGCACTTAGTTAAGGAGCAATGCAAATGTAGTTTGATGAGTGGTGACGACTATAGATACTCATAACAACCCCACAGTCATATT